TAAAATGCTTACCAGCTGGTTATCATAGCTCTAAAACACCATCAAATAATACTTGTGATTATTGTAATCAAATATTTATAGTAAAGGATGAACAAGAAGGTATAATGTTAATATGTGGCCATGCTTATCATCATAGATGTTTTGGAGAGAAAAATAATAGATGTGATTATTGTTTGGAATATTATAAAAAAGGTGTTGTCTTGAATGTAAAATCCTATATAAATAGATTAGAAAAAGATAATGTTGTTAATGACCATGTGAATATTTGTTGGATGGAGGCATTCACATACAAGGAAATTATTAAATAGCTAAGTCATGTTTGTTTTATTAAAGATGTATGATTAATTATATTCAAAATACACAATAAAAAAACTTCAAGACTGTACCACTGTGTCAATCAAGCTATCAAGCTGTTATGGTTTCTAATTTAGGGTCCCATCTTTCTTTGCTTATATATAATCTATTGGTTCTCTTTTACTGGTCAAATGATGCCAAATTGGGTAATGAGGTATCAGAACCTGATTATTCTTTAAAAAAATAATCAAGGTATTAGCATACTGATAAGTTAATAATTTTCTTAGTATTTTATCTAAAAGTCTACTAGTAAATGTTGAAGGTGCCAATATTTATCAGATATCCTTTTAAAATTAATCCTATTTTTTAGTTAATCATTGGCTCAATTTAATAAACTAATAGCTCTTTTATATTGTAATTAAGTTATTGGTTAAACATTTCTAAAGCTCTTTGTGAGTAGTAGTTAGGGTTTCTATTCGAATAAAGCAAATAAAAGCAAATGTAAGGAGCAATTTTCTCACCTTGTTCTTTCTTCAAAATACTTCTAATGGTGCTATAATTCTTGGGTTCCATAGTAGATCTGATGTAAATGAGTTTCATATTAACTATTTTTATATAGAGGTAATTCTATATATCAAGAGGATAACAAATGGAAGATTTTATTAATCACATTACTAAAATTTGACCCCTGAAATCTTTGGTAATACCAATGTTCACTTTGTCTGGTTTTGTTGCAGCATGCCCAAATAATGATTGATAAACATGAACAACTGTACATTGAAAAATTCAAGTCCAATGAGTAGGAATCTTGTTTTTATTAAACATAATTTTATAGGAAACATGAGATTAAAGTAATAAAGTATATGCTATTGAAAATATTACTTGGTCGTGATTGATATTTGTGTTATAAGAATTACTTATTCCTATGCATGTCATTTATGTAATTGTCCATTTTTATGGTCACCTTTCCAAAACAATTCCAATTTATTTTATATTTGCCTTAATAAGTACTTATTAATGCTTTTAATTATAATAAAAGAATCCTCCTTTTCAATGTTAATGAATCCTGAAATTGCAACTCAAGAATTAAAAGAATTCTTGACACATTTAGAAGTTAGTTTCTCTCCCTCTTGATAAATATATCAAGTAATTTTATTAATAATAGGAACATAATACACATTCTACTGATTATATATTAAATTTAATAACAAATTTATATTAATAAATTTTATTTCTGTTAGAGATAAATTTGAACAATCTCCTGAAGGTACAGTCATCAAATATGCTAGCTAATGTATCAAAACCACAAATACAGCAAAAAACACACGATTATGGTATAGTTGATTTGAAAGAGCTTGTTAATGATACACAACCTGTTATTGATTTGTTAACAAAAGGTTATTGCTGCATTATTGTGTATATAAAGCTAGATCATTGTACAATGGAATTGATCCTTTAACGGATGAAGAAATGGTTCAAATATTTAATCACACACAAATACCATCAATTTTGGCGATATTCTAAAAATAATAATGTATCATTTATCTTTCTGGTGGTACAAGTTATTGTGTAATTCTTCTATATAAGGTATAAGCGAAAATGGATAATTGCGTAAATAAGGAAGATATTAAGCTTTATATAATGCTCTCTTTTATTATTAAAATAGTGAATAAATAGATGATAATTTGTTGTTATTTATTATCAAAAAATAATAATAATTCTTCATTATCAATCTATTAAAAAGTTGATTATACAAAAAAAATAAATATAATTGTAAACAATATAGAATTCAATTGAAACTTTATCAAATGATAGAGTAAACTCAAAAAAAAAAGACAAGCCAATCATCCATAAAAGATTCATATGACAAACAATGAACTATTAAAACAAAGAAACAAAAATATCAGCGATGATGATAAAGTGCAAGAAATGTTAAATTGATGAAGGCAGTAGAAACAATCATAAATAGAAAAACGGATAAATATGTTATCAAAATATAAACTAATAATAATAACAATAACATAATAATAGTAACGCTAATACTAACAATGAGGCCAATAACAGTAATTTATTGTGAAAAAAAATCGAGATCTTCATAAAAAAATCCACAAAGAACGATTTGAATTTCAAAGTAATAATAATTCGTAAAGTAACAAATACAATTGCATCGGAAAAAATAAATCTTTAATCCATCCAAAGTTCTTTTAAATATGTTAATTAAAACATTATTATTCGATCTTTATTGAATTTGTTTTATAATTTTTTTTTAGTACTGATTTCTTTTCTTCTTGTTCATAAAATAATAATACCATATACCATATTAATATATTTCATAAACAATAAATCTATAATTATAACATCATATATTTCATATTTATTTTTATAAAAATATTTGTGCTTACGGTACTATAATTTACAACAGGTTTTATTGATTATTGATACAAAAAGCCAACTTCTATAGTTTACTCTTCTCTATAATGGATCTTTCCATAACGGAACTTGTTTAGACTGAAAATTTAAGCCCAATTTATATGTCCCATTTATAAATTAATAATAATATTATAATAATAGATTCTCTGTTCGTTATTATTATCATTATTATAGAAATATACTCATTGCACAAGACAAAAGAAATTTTTTTTATATTAAAAGAAACCTTCGAATCTTGACTTTGTTAACAAAAAATTTTTACAATAATGTGGCGGAACAATTTTTCTAACAAAGGTAATCGATTAGTGACATTTTGAGCTTATTTAAAAAATATTATTTACAAAAATGTTTGATGATTTAATAAAACTTCTTTTAGATAATGAATGAATCAACTCTTATAATATCTTTCAATAAACTATATTAATAATAATAGTTAATAACATTAAAGCAAATATATGACAATAAATTATAATTACAAAGATTTCAATAGGTAGTAAATCAATTTAATTGTATCTCACTTTACTCTTGTATTTAGCCGACAATGTATAGCTTGCAACAAAGATTTAAATTAAAGCGGCGTTTTCGTTTTATCACGCAGTTTACTATTACTCTCGGTTTTAATGGTGGTTTTAAAGTCCGACGTGTGAACCACGTAATACTTCAAAAAGTTTAATTTGATTTCCTTTTTTGATACTATTCACATCATCATATTTTAATTTTCATATGATTATTACTATTATTCATTACTATTTTAAAAATACCCAGCTAATTGATTGGCTGTTGTTACATGAAAAATTATCTGAACAACGAACGTGATATAAAGAAAACGCACAGATATTATATAAATATAATAATCTTTTTTTTTAAAAAATCAATCAATTGTTTTGACATAAATAACAATACGCGGTATCGACTTGGTTAATAAATGTCAGCACTTCATGTTTGGTTGATCGATAACAACCGCGTCAACACTTTACACTTTTACGTTCGCACTCTAAAAAAATTTGATAAAGTTATTAGTTCTTACGTTTATACTTAAACACTTAAACACATTTACAAAACGTAAACGAAACGTTTACACTTACAAAAACTTAAAACAAACCTTTGCTTCTTTACTAAGCAAAACCTTATTGGCGTTTTTGAGAGAAGAAAAAACGACTAGTTATAAACGTACGGATGTTAAAAGAAAGTAAATAAAAAAGGAACTCAGAAAACCTTTGTCGCTTTTTAAAAGAGCCACATTATTTATTGTAAATCGTACCATAAAGCGTGCTTACAGATCGCCGAAGTTTCCTAGAAAGACCATTTTACACAGTTGTTCAAATGATAAGGCAAAGTAAAAAAAAATTAAAAACATTAAAATCGCGATTAAAATCAGTCCATAATGATATAGTAACCAATGGCATCGTGCGTAAGGGTCTTCAAAAACTTTTTTAAAAAATAGAATTCTAATTCAACAATCTAATTGCTGTTTATTAAATATATCGAATTCTGGATATTAGATACAAACAAATATGTAGTACGCATGCATTGGGAAACGGTTTACAGTCAAACCTTGTCATAACGGATTTCGATCTAGTACAAATTTAGAAGGTATCTACAGAAATATCCAATCAAATACAATATTTCTGCAGATACCTTCTAAATTTGTACTAGATCGAAATCCGTTATGACAAGGTTTGACTGTATGTCGCGTACGACGACGAATAGTGTTTTTGTAATTTATCCGTGACGATTAATTACAAGTGAAATTTAGATTGTCAAAACTAATTATCAAGATCAACAACTCGAAAAACAATTATGCAATAAAATTTTGTAACAATTTAATTTGCCAAATTGGTAATATTATATACAGAACCTACGTGACAAATAAGGATTAATTATTAGAGTTGGTTTCTGAAAAAAACAATTCTAGAAATTCTTCTCTTCTTTTACAAAAGACGGATAGTATTTTACTCACCTTTCTATTAAATCATCTTTTCCTATAAATTAATTTTTTTTATTTCTCGTCAATTAACTCCCACAGTTTGAGCAAGTTTTTCATTCGTTATTGTGTTCTTCTTTTCATTTTCTAGCCCTGAGCTTTTGTTTTCTTTTATTTTCTGCCTGTTCGGCTCTTTTAATTTTTTGTTGTAATTCTTTTTCTTGTGCTTTTAATATTTCTAATTTATTTTTTATTCAGTTATTATTATATACTTGTCAATAATCGTCGTCCAATACCGATTCTATTTTAACACAAATAACAATACGCGATAACACTTTGGTTGATAAATGTCAACATTTTATATTTAGTTAATCGATAACAACCGTTAACACTACACTTTTACGTTCACACTCTAACACACTAATAAAAAATCATTGGCCCTTACGTTTAACTTAAATACTTGATCACTTTTACAAAAACGTTTGCAATTAATAAAGACTTAAAACAAACCTTTGCTTCTTTATTAAGCAAAAACCTCACTAACGTTTTATTTTTTTCGGGAGAAGAAAAAACGACTGTTAAAAGAAAAGTAACGAAGCCTTGAAGCGGCCAAAGAAAAGTAAAAGTAAATAAAAAGAAGCTTTGGTACGACCTTTTATGGCACAGCAACCGAAAATAACGCTTTAATTAAACAAGAGTTTGAGAAAAAATTAATAGTTAAAAATAAAGAGGAGGCGACTAAATTTTTACTACAAAGAATATTAGAAAACAGAGAACGAAAGGGACACATTATTTATTGTAAATCGTACCATAAAGCGTGCTTACAGATCGTTTAAGCTTCTAGAAAGACCACTTTACACGGTTGTTTAAATGATACGTCAAAGCATAGAAAAAACATCAAAAACATTAAAATTGCAATTAAAAACATTAAAATCGCGATTAAAATCATTAAATTCACTGTTAAAAAAAATAAATGTAGAATATATTTCAGAAAAGGAAAAAAGGTTTAAACATCAACTTAAAAGGGAAAATATTTTATATGATTATAATTCTTTTCAAAATATTGAATTAATTGATGGTGGATCATTTGGAACAATTTATTGTGCATCTTCAAAGCATCATCAAGAACTTGTGGCATTAAAATCCATTAATATTGATCATTCTTTTGAACAACTTCTTAATGAGGTAATAAATTAGTAAATCTTTTATCTAATAAATTTTATATATATTAACAATTGACTTTTTAAAGGCAAAACAACATTGTAGAGTAGAACATCACAGTAATATATTAGGATTTTATGGCATAACAAAAGAAAGTATGTTGACTTTTTATTATTAAATTATTGTTTATAATGTATTCATTGTGCTTTGTTAATTTGAATTTTTTACATTTTATTATTAAAGAACATAAAAAGAATTACATGTTTGTATTAGAGTATGCAAACAATGGTAATTTATGTGATTATTTAAAATCCAATTTCAATACAATGGATTGGAATATTAAATTAAAATTTGCAAAACAAATTGTAAGTGCTGTAAGACATTTGCATGAAAATAAAATCATACATAGAGACCTGGTACATACATATAACAATATTACTTATTTATATCTAATTATTTTAATAGTAATAACTAACATTAATATTTTTTAATAGCATTCTAAAAATATTCTTATTCATAATGGAAATATTAAAATTTGTGATTTTGGAATCTCAAAATCCTTATTGGATTCTTCAATTGAGGCTTCTAAAAGATTAGGTACAATAAGATACTCAGATCCACAATATTTAGGGAATATTGAAAATTATAGTCGTAATGAAAAATCAGATATTTATAGCATTGGAGTGCTTTTATGGGAAATTTCAAGTGGTCATGCTCCATTTGCAGATAAGTCAATCACATCCAAATGTATAATAGTTGCCATAATATTAGGTGAACGTGAAACAATAATCAAGGGAACCCCAAAGAAATATGCAGAAATATATACAGGTAATAATGAGAAAGTGATTGCATAACCACTGGCTATAATTTTTTCAATGAACTGTTTATACCAATATTAAAATTTTTATTTTTTTATAAAGCATGTTGGCAAGGAAAGCCAGATCTTCGTCCTCATATTCATGAAGTTATGCGGGATTTGGACAATGTAGATATAACTAACACTATTGAA